ATGTCCTCTAGGTTTTTATCATTAATCTGATGGAATTGTGTCATGGTGTTTGAATTGATTTTAAGTGGACACAGAGACAAAACATTTGCTGTACCTGATGCAGAGGCACTGACTGCTTGTCTGATTTTCTGAATTTTGTCAGTGAAGAAGGAGGCTAATTTATTGCACGCCCTGGTGGATAGAAATTCAGAGGCTACTGACACTGGGGGGTTAGTTAGTCTGTCGACGGTAGCAAACAAGGCACGTGCGTTGTTTTTGTTTTTGGTAATGGTGTCAGAAAGACTGTCGTGCATTTTTCAATTCCAAATTATAAAGGCCAAGTCTCTCTTTATAGATTTCAAAGTGCACCTGGAGATTTATTATTCTCCACCTGCGTTCAGCTTTTCGACACTCTTTTTTCTCTGTTCTCACGGTCATGGCCTTTCTCCATGGAGATATTTTCTTGCCAGACACTTCCTTTAACTTAGTTGGAGCAATGGGATCTATAACATTTTTAATTTTTGAATTAAAATGATCTGCTAGCTCATTTACTGAGATGTTAGCAGGGGCAAGTGTGGAAGAACAATTCTGAGTAAACATTTCCCTAGTATTTTCAGTTAAATATCGCTTTGTGGTTACCTCTTTTTGAACATTTTTGTGAACAGAAATAGAGTACTTAGAGATATTCAGACCCTTTGAGATAATTAAGTCCAGAGTGTGCCCCTTATTGTGTGTGGGCTCCGTCACATGCTGAGTCAGTCCATAGTTATCAAGAACGCAAAACAGTTATTTTGCCCCTCTGTCCTGGGGGTTGTCAACATGGATGTTAAAATCACCAGCAACGACTAGACGGTCAAAGTCAATACACACTATAGACAGCAGTTCAGTAAAGTCATCAAAAAACTTGCACAGTATTTGGGGGGTCTATAGATATTTAGGAACAGAGCTCGAGAGGAGCATTTCAGCTGAAGGGCCACATATTCAAAAGAAGCAAAGTTCCCATAAGATGTCTTCCTGCATTGAATGGAATCATTGAACAAAATAGCAACTCCACCCCCTTTCTTATGCATTCTTTCCTGACTCATAAAAATAAAGTTGGGAGGGATTGATTCGATAAGAACAACTGCACTGTTCTGTTGTTCAATCCAAGTTTCTGTTAAAAACATAAAATTGTGATTGTGCTCAGTGATAAAATCATTGATTTAAAATGTTTTTCCTGCCAGAGACCTGACATTTAATAAAGCTAGTTCAAGTTTGTTGAATACACTATCAGTCAGATTTGTTGTGGCAAGCTGTGGCTGACATGGAATCACTTCTAAATTTGATAAACTCACACGAACGTTTGAGCACTTCCTGTTTCTAAGATGATTCACCGCTCTTAATCTATTACCTATCAACACAGATATCGGCAAAGCTACTTGCAGGCAGGGCCCCGGCATGTCCTGGAAAGAGTTGAGAGTGCCATACGCCCTTGAGCCTGGACCCAGCATATATCAGTCAGTGTTTGCGTTTTTTACACACACATTCTTATCAGGCTAAGGACTCATTCCCTACTTGGAGTGGACAGTCCATCGGTTTCCTGCTGAGAACCATGGCCTCATAATTGGAGGTGCTGATCCTCATCCCAGCCGCTTCACACTCGGTTGCAAACCGATCCAGTGAGTGCTGAAGGTTGCAGACCGATGAAGCCATCAGAACCACATCATCTGCAAAAAGCAGTGGTGCAATCCTTAGTCCACCGAACTGCAGACCCCCTCCCCCACGACTACGCCTCGAAATCCGACCCATGTATATTACAAACAGGATTGGTGACAAAGCGCAGCCCTGGCGGAGGCCAACCCTCACCGGAAATGGGTCCGACTTACTGCAGAGGACCCGGACACAGCTCTCGCTTTGGGAGTACAGAGATTGGATGGCCCTGAGTAGAGACCCCCTCACCCCATACTCCCGCAGCACCTCCCACAGTAACTCCCTGGGAACTCAGTCATACGCCTTCTCCAAGTCTACAAAACACATGTAGACCGGATAAGCGTACTCCCAGGCCCCCTCCAGGATCCTTGCGAGAGTAAAAAGCTGATCCGTCGTTCCACGACCAGGACGGAATCCGCATTGTTCCTCCTCAATCTGAGGTTCGACAATCGGCCTGACCCTCCTTTCGAGTACCTTAGAGTAAACTTTCCCGGGGAGGCTGAGTAGTGTGATGCCTCTGTAATTGGCACACACCCTCTGATCCCCCTTTTTGAAAAGGGGAACCACCACCCCGGTCTGCCACTCCTTCGGTACTGTTTCAAACAGCAAATAACCCATTATTTTAATCATATTTAATATTTTCTCTCCATTTTCTATTTCGGAAAAACATTATATTGTTAATTGTTATTATTTAATCAGGTGAAAAAAAAATGGTGTAGATATTTATTTCTATGTTATTTCTATTACTTTACCAAACAGTGTTTCTAGATGAGTTGGTCGCAGTCTTAAACAGACAAAAAGGAACTTCACAGGCATCAGCAGCTAATAAGTAACCTAAATTGAATTGATCAATTGTATTTAGAGTAGAAAACTGCTTGCTAACTAGTTTTGGTTTGTTTGCTGCAAATGAAATAAGCCAGTGGCTTTACTCAACAAAGTGTACAGTTTGGCAATTTATACAAATAATAACCCCTTTTGTACAATGAATGACTCACTGATTATCAGACAAAATAATAACTCCTTATCAGTCTAATTAGTATATCCTGAGGGCGCGACGAGACTTCTGGATGTGATACAATCCAAACAGCGTCAGGGCTGCTTTTTGCAAATGAAGCACCAGGAGAGATGGCTGCGAGGATCTCAGGGATTTCATTCTGTAAATATTGAACTTCTGTGTGTGATGAAGATGTCAGACAACTAGCTTACACCAGTAAGCTCTATCAAATTGACTGAAATGTCTGCAAATGTCTCAATATGACGAGCCAGAATGAAGGATTCTGGGAATATTATTCGAGGGTAAGGATTTTATTTTAAAGTTAGAAAACTTTCCATAAAAAGTCATGGAAGTTGCGTGGCAATCTGTATGAGCTGATAATGAATTCATCTCCTTGTTAGGAAAAGGAGATCTGCTAAGAAGCATTTCTTAGTGCAGGTGGAAAGAGGGTGTGTGTGTGTGTGTGTGTGTGTGTGTGTGTGTGTGTGTGTGTGTGTGTGTGTGTGTGTGTGTGTGTGTGTGTGTGTGTGTGTGTGTGTGTGTGTGTGTGTGTGTGTGTGTGTGTGTGTGTGTGTGTGTGTGTGTGTGTGTGTGTGTGTGTGTGTGTGTGTGTGTGTGTGTGTGTGTGTGTGTGTGAATCATCCTGTTGCCTTCAGAGATCTGTAGAAGGGGTTGAAAGTCTTGGCATCACTATGAGAGGCGGATCAATTATCTGGAGTTAAAAGTGCAGCACTCTGCTGTCTATGCAAAGACAGTGATGGTGCACAATCCTCTTGACCTTCACACTTCTTGTTGTGCTGTTTGGCAAGTTTACTTTTAAGCTCTCTGTCCCTTGATGCATTGGTGGCGAGAGGAAGGCTCTCCTCATTTAGATACATGACTTCCTCTGTGGGTTTATTAAATGACATGGTGAAATGAAGATGTAAAGCCACACTTTACATAAAAGATTAGGAGGAGAAATTGTGATTCCGCTGCTTAAAATAGCTTTCACTTCCCTTATCAGAGACTGCATCTACAAATCCACTCTAGCGCTAAACGTTTTGCTGCGAGACATTTGGTTCTCCCAGGAATTGAGACATTTTAATTACATTTAGACAAAGTGAGCTGTGTGAGGCTGGATTATCAAATGTGTAAAGCAGGTAACTGCCACAGGGACCCATGTTCACTGTGTGGCAATTACTTTGTAGTAATTTGATTAATTGCCATTTTTCTGGGAAATGTGCACGCTCAAAAGATTCTATACACTCAAATATGAACCCTGACCTTCATTATATGAGTTCATATGATGCTTATATATTGTTTGCCAAAAAATACCAATAGCTCACAACACAAAACTGCATCAGTTGTTGGTTTGTAGTGGTTTGTGCAAAATATAATGAAAGTGCCCTGTGTGGTCTGCTGTGTGCTCTGGTGGGTACTTACAGGAAATGTGACCAACACAATGCACAAAGAGTGTTGGAAGCTGGGTATAGATTTATTTTGTCCCCTTGGTAGGTTAATCTGTCTTTGAGTTTGCAGCTTGTTTAGTTACTTAGTAAGTTAGCAACACTTACTAGCATTCAACAACTATTGTGGCTTTGTTACAGTATGTTCAGTCAATCTGCTGAGAGGACTTGGTTATATGTTTTGTACATTGAGAAAAAAACGATGTTCAAGGGTTCAAAAAGGCTGTCAATGTGAAGGGATGAAAGAGACAAAGATACCTTTTAGCACCAGTTCAACAAGAAGAAATCACCTAGATTTGGCGAAAAAAGAGAAAGTGGAAGATATGCATCAAATTATACAGTTTGGAGTAAAGGACGCCTTTTCTTCAGGTCATTTTAGTGTATTGGATAGAGAGTATTAGCTGGAAATGCTACGGACTAACAAATCACAGTTTAAATCTCTTCAATCTAACCAGTGAGTAAACTGCAGAGGGTCCAAAGAAAAACATCTCCGCAAAAATATTCTGAGCCCAATTGCACATTATAAATGGACATGTATTCATTTCTTTACTGGATAACAAGTACAAAATTAGAACAAGTACAAACAGTATTCTTTCATGCAACAATGTGGGTTTAATTCTTCTTCTTTGGGGTCAAAACTACTATAAAACTATGCTATATTTTTTGTCTGAATTATACTGTTATCTATCGTAAAAAAAAGCCATTCTTAAAGGACATAAGGACACCGTCAATATAGCAGGTGATTCCAAACTTTTGAACAGTATAAGTGTATGTCTCATTTTTTTAAGTACAGTAAACACACTGAGAAATAGACTCACTGATTTAAAAACATGTATTATCTCTAAGCAGCCTCACTGATGCAATATTGCTCTGTTTTCCCCTCTCTCTTGTAGGAGAACCCATATCTGTGCAGTGACGAGTGCGATGCCTCTAACCCGGACCTGGCCCACCCCCCCCAGCTGATGCAGGACAAAGAGCGCACCGGCCTGCTCACATACTGGCAGACGGTGACTTGGAGAAGCCACCCCGAGCCCCTGCTGGCCAACATCAGTATGTCCTGGAACAAGAGCCTGGAGCTCTCCGACGACATCCAGGTCACCTTCGAGTACGGCCGCCCCACCATCATGGTTCTGGATAAGTCCATGGACCACGGGCGCTCCTGGCAGCCCTACCAGTACTACGCCGACGACTGCATGGACGCCTTCAACATGCAGCCCAAACTTGTGGCCGACCTCTCGCCCGCTAACATCACACGGGTCATCTGCACCGAGCAGTACTCGCGCTGGGTCGGCTCCAAGAACGACAAGAACGTGAAGTTCGAGGTGCGGGCGCGTTTCTCTGTGTTCGCGGGGCCGCGGCTACAGAACATGGACAGCCTGTACACCCGCATGGAAAGTATGAAGGGATTGAGGGACTTCTTCACCTTCACCAACCTGAGGATGAGGCTGCTCAGGCCCGCCCTCGGAGGCACCTACGTCCAGAGAGACAACCTGCTCAAGTACTTCTACGCCATCTCCAACATCGAGGTACCTGCCAGGTGAGGGTCAAACTGCTAAGAGATGCATGCTGAATGTTCACTAGTTCTACCTCAGTTATCTTCACTTGGAGCACATTTGAACGCCGCAATGTAATCTAAAGTTTTTGGTTACATTTTGGAATAAGGTATACCAAGAATGTACAGAAAGAGGAAATGAGGGCTAAATTATTTAGTGAGATTATAATAATGTTGTGTGAAACTCCGGTTGCAGCTTTAAAATGTTTGGCAACCAAAGTCGGTGGTCACAAAATTCAGATACAAGAACTTCAGTAGCAAATTATCACAATGGGAATGCCAGTATAACCACAAGTCTACAAACAAATCAATCAAAATACGATTTTATATGATGCAAAATACACTAGCTGGCAAATCATTATGCAGGCACCCTTTTTTAATTAAAGTCCACGAAAAGCACACACAGAAAAAATGCAACAATGGAAACTGAACAATCTGTGGGTTTATATGAGACCATGATGCTGCTCTACTCTCGTTTACTATTATTCCAATTACATCGTGGAGCTACGATTCACCACGCATTCATCACACTTTAACATGCCTAGGATTGATTTCCTACAATCTGACACAGATTGCAACCAATATCTTTTTATACCCATCGTGCATATTGTGACATACGATAACCTAAACAAAGAAAAAGTAAACCATTCCCCATCTCAAGGATTTTTTTGGTGTTAAAGTGAAATGGATTTTACAAGGACTATTTATTCAGTAGGAAGTACATTCAGCTAAAACAATTAATTGTTTCCAAGTGTTGTTGTTTTAAAGATTTTAGAGACACAAACAAAGATAGCAGCAAATATCTCACAGATTAAAATATGAATAGATGAACTGTCTTTATGGCTATAGTAGTAGGTGTTAGTGGAAAATACATGTCTGTTTACAGATTAATTGGACTAATTCTTTAAATATATCACTTAAAACAATGCCTATTGTCACATTTAAGACAAAAAACAGTTCAAGTTACCAAAATCAGCCAAAATCAGTCAATGTAAATGACACCAGCCAACACTAATCAGTTTTAAACAAAACATTTAGCAGACTCTAAATAAAAGCAGCCTATATATTGTAGAATGTATTCTCAAACATAACATGCAAAGGTAAACCCACCGGGCGATGAACAAACACAAACACACACACACACACACACACACACACACACACGCTCAAAAACACTCCCTGTCTCTGATCTCGGGGCGTTAAAGTGACCCTCCTCCTCTCTCTGAACATGAATCCTGCTCGTCCTGTGTCTCGGCCCGTGAGGACAATGATTAATGACAGAAACGCACGGCCTCGGTGGTCTAACGTACACCGCGATGCACTCCCTGCCAGGGGGGCCGGGAACCCTTACAGGGCAACTTTGTGACAGTGAAAGATGTTCAGGGCCATCACACGCCTGCTTAGCATCAACAAGCCATCTCTCCTACCTTTCAGAATTATCATTCCAATCAATACGGGAGGCTGACATTTGAATGGTATTTAACATCCGTGTTGGGATGGCCGGGAATGTGTGTGTGTGTGTGTGTGTGTGTGTGTGTGTGTGTGTGTGTGTGTGTGTGTGTGTGTGTGTGTGTGTGTGTGGTGTGTGTGTGTGTGTGTGTGGTGTGTGTGTGTGTGTGTGTGTGTGTGTGTGTAAGGTATGGTGTGTGTGTGTGTGTGTGTGTGTGTGTGTGTGTGTGTGTACTGTGTGTGTGTGTGTGTGTGTGTGTGTGTGTGTGTGTGTGTGTGTGTGTGTGTGTGTGTGTGTGTGTGTGTGTGTAAGGTATGGTGTGTGTGAGAAGGAGGGAAAGTGAAAATGAGCGACTGTGGGTGTGTATGTGTGTGTAGAGTCGAAGTATGGGGGGTTGTTTGATGAAGACCTGAGTGGATGCTGACACAGCACACACATACACATACATATACACGCACGCGCACACACACACACACACACACACACACACACACACACACACACACACACACACACACAGCCCTCTGGCACTGTTGAAAAGGCCTGCAGGTATTGATCACAGCCACTCTTCAGGCTCAGCACAGAATCAGAGAGCGAGGCAGCGATACCCCGGGGGTGAAACAGTCCATCGCCACGCCAATTTAATCATCAACAAAACCGGTTTTGAAATATTTGTGCTTATTTTTATTTATTTAGCAGTCCACGAGTGCACCAGATCTAAGATTTGATCATCCGTCTCAGATTCCCTGCTGTGCCGCTTTGCTTGAAACACTCCCAAAAAATCTCTCCTCATTTTCCTAATGTCCTCTCCTCACCCAGAGACAGGGCTGGTGGTTGGTGTCAGTGTGTGCTGATCTGGTTGCGGCTTTAAAGGTTTGGCAACCAAAGTCACTGGTGGCAAAATCAGACACAAGGACTGAAAGAGCTAAATCTCACAACGGGAATGCCGTTATAACCAACATCTACAAACAAATCAATCAGAATACAACATCAAATGATGCGAAGTACACTAGCTGGCAAATCATTATCAAAAAACACACAGACAAAATTGAAACAATGGAGACTATTAAGTGTGGAAACTGCTTAAAAAAAATGGGGGGCTTTTATTTCTATTTACATCATACTGTAGCACTACAATTCATCACACATAAATCAGAGAGAGGCAGCGATACCTTGGGGGTGAAACAGTCCATTGCCAGACCCTCCACCTTCACCACTAGCAGCTAATTTAATCATCAACCTGTTTTGAAATATTTGTGCTTATTTAATTTATTTAGCAGTCCACGAGTGCACCACATCTAAGATGTTATCATCCGTCTCAGATTCCCTGCTGTGCCGCTTTGCTTGAAACACTCCTCAAAAAAGTGTCTCCTCACTCTCCTCACTGAGGCTGGTGGTTAGTGGCGGCTGCAGATAGTGTCAGTGTGCTGGATCTGGTGACAGAGGACCCAGATTTAGCTCCTGTGGAGATGACCGGGTCCAGTCCGTCTTCCGCCCCCGGCAACCCACACCTCCCGTAACATAATCACTAATCAATGAGTTATTCTGGGCGGCCAGCAGGAGTATTAGGTGATAGTGGGTGGGGGGTCTTCAACAGTACAGTACAATCAAGAGTGTCTGATGCTTACGGCTGGGAAATTGATTTTGGGGGAGCGAGACGATTAGTCAATGTTCCCTGGACAAAAGGCTAAGCTATTTCATCTCATCTCATCTGGCCTTAGTAACATATTGGGATTTCCAATGCTTAAAATTTGAATAATGAATATTCCTCTCTGCTGCTGCTCCGGCGGGGACACGGCGCTGAAATGGGTTTTATATGATCAAGACCGAATGGCAGTGTACCTAAGGTCGCGGCAGTAATGAGATATGCTGGTGTTATCGATGGAGAGAGGGTTGTAGTCACTTCCTGGCCGTATTGTGTGTCCCCGGGCCTCAAGCTGTGGATCTATGGCTGAACCCAGAGAAAGTAATTATTATTAGCTAAGTCTCCTTAACGACCTGAGTTGAGCCTGGACGGATACGCCAAAAAAATACCCTTTTTTATCATCAGCCGGTGTAAGATGTTACTGCTATGGGACGTGTCTCTTTTATCTGCATTGTCAGAGTCTCTAAAGAGCTGCTGCAGGTACGCAGTAATCCAGGTACTCAGGGATAAATAGTGCTGCTTTATCAATAAATACGTAACCTGAGAGCCCATTAAGTGCAAACGCAGGGAGGTTGCAAATTTAGATTTGTGGACACAATGAAAACACTTGTGAGAGGGCGTTTAAGGTCGAGGGCAGCCAGAGGGGCAGCACGGATTTTAAAGACGAGAAGGTCAAACAGAGGCAAAGTAAAACTGGATTCGATTTATTCGATTATTGTATGATTCAGCATTGCTCACTGTGTTGCAAAGTTCTGCCAAGGTGAACTGTAATGAGCTACATTACTGACTACAATGCAAACTCCGAGCCAAGGTGTTCTGGGTTTTGAAATGCCTCGGGCTCCATGCTCATTTTACAGGCTCTATTCAAACCCTTTAGATGTGGACATTTCCATATCACTGATGGGCCTTGTGAAAGCCATCTCCAGCCATCAAAGATAGAGTGGCAAAGCCTCAACTCTATCATCATTTACATCAGGGAAATCATTTTCACCGGGAAGCTTAACTCATAAGCGCAGCTCTCAAATTCCCCGTCATTCATTGGACCTCCATTTCTGTCCCCTCTGTCCCATCTGTCAGCCGGACTGTGGCTGGACTGCAGGTCGGCCTGTAGTCTGCATTATGGATTAGACGTGGGGTCATGGATTGGGCCCTTTTTAATGGAATAAGCAGCAGGTCGTACGGTGGGTCTTTATAATGGAATAAAGGAAAGGCTGTAAGCTCAGGAAGAGCCAACTAAGTGGATTAGGGCCAAGACGAGAGCAGGAGACGGAGCAGCATGAGGGAAGTTTTCCTCTCCCGGCTGGTAATCGCTGCAGCATCAGGTCTTCTTCTCCCCGACCTCTCAGTTTGATTTGATTGGCTGACGGGGGAAGAATGACATTTAAGAGAAGCCAAGTATGAGTGAGTCTTACTCCCCCGACATCAGTCTGCTGAGGGAAGAAACGCCCGGCACATGGGCAACATTACAGCACTGATTCTTTTTCCAGAATGACTTATTGAAATTCACATTTGAACGTATTGTGAACAAGAAATGTACATTTGTATTTGATTTTATTAATAGTTTATTAAAAAAAAGGCAGTACATTTGTATTAGTATTCCTAATTGACTGTAAAACTATGGAGCAAACCAGCCAAGCCACAACTAGAAAAAGAAATTAGCTAGTATTAATTCTGAGCAAACTGGAGTGAATGTATTTGACTACTTTAATGATTATAGTCCTATTTCTTTATAGTTTAGGAATTAACAAATGTAATTTCCACTTTTGACAACTTCTATTGTAAATTGTAACACAATTAAGTGTCTAGACTCTACGGTGATGGTAGCAGCTCTGAATAGGCTGTGAGCTGTTTGTACAGTGGTGCTTTAAGCTAAAGGCTAACATGCAAAAC